TCCAGTCTACGGTAAAAAAAAAAAAAAAAAAAAAAAAAAAAAAAAAAAAATCATATGTGCTCCGAAGCAGAGGAGTGATTGGAAACGTAGTGTATATACCAAGGGATAAATGAGACGACCGGGGATTTAACTCCAGGATTGGCTGCGCGCCAAGTTCGCGCACCTGTGGGGTGTGCGTTGGAGGACCCTGTATACGTATACATCTCCCGGCTGCTCCCGGCATATATATACGGAAGTCGCAACGGCTTGGTCTATTAATCGTATAACGCGCTCGCAACTCTCTTCGAAGCTCACGGGGCACACGTAACTTTGCCTAACGTTATCACATCCATGTTTTTCTTTCGATGGGTTTCGAGATCGGAGTCCATTAGTATAACGAATTTCATGCGCTGGTAGTTTGTTTGATCGACTTTTTAACCGATTCTCAAGCGGCGAGTGCAAAAAATTTTGTTTTTTCATTTTTTCAAAGTTTGTACCCCTCCCTTCCCGGTTGAATCAATTTAATTTTGGTGCTTTTGTCGAGTGTCAAAAATCGGTGGTCGTTACTTGCATCTTCTCTTTATTTGGTTACTGGTAAGTGATTCAGATCATTCATTTCATTACGATAATTACCAAATCGATTTGTCAAAACGATATTTTTGTTACCCTACTTTTATAAAATTGCAATTACTTTGCTTCAACATTGAGGTACCGTTGAGAACGCATGTACAACTATTACTTTTCATAGCACATTAGTTGCACAAAACTGTAATACTTTTAAAAAATTATTATTTTTTATATATTTTAAGATGAACAAAAAAAAAGTAAAAATTCAGTGGGGAATTTTTATTGACATTGGTAAATGATACGTTAAAAAAGCCATGATAATCGATTTGTATACATCATCACCCTGATAATACCTACCACGTATTCGATAACGATGCAACTGTACGAAATCGTAAAAAAAAAAAAAAAAAAAATAAACTAGGACAGTGGGTGCTTGTATACCCAACTAAGAAGTTATACTTTAACAAAATAATATGGCAGATAATATAAATATTAAAACAAATATTTCTTCCATAAAATGGCTAATGCTCATAAGGCCGGGGGTTCAAACCCAATTCAGACAATCTACGAATTAATTGATTTATTAATTCCAAGATTTGATAACAAGTAATGAAACACTTTACATGAAAAAAAAGTTATAATCGCAATAATGTCACATATATCATATTATTTTTTAACTGAACATTCAACTTCTTAATAATTAAACTGGAATTATTTGTACTAGAAATATTATAGCTTGTATAAAAGTAAACTATCAATATAACCACTTGAAAGAAAAAACTGTTTCA